TAGTGGATTTACAATCAGTCCTGCAAGCTGGAAGTGCAGCTACGCAACTGTAGGTCCCTCTAAGTGGATAATCTAGTATGAGATCGTTCTATTTCTGGTTCATCAATGGCTCTAAGATGCTGTTGAGGCTTAGACACCTCATGCACCCACTGTGCCTGAGGTTCTGGCCAAAAGACAGGTGAAGGGAACCGTGTGAAGAGTTCCTTTCCCCATCATGTGAGGCTGAGGAGATGTATTAGGTGACTGCTTTAAAGTCAGTGTCTCATGTGCTGCTTTGGGCAGCCTATAAATACTGATTTTTTTTTCATCTGTCAGGGCTCAGGATGTTTGGATGAGCTGACTTTGTTTGAGGTCACATGGCACAGCCTCTGCCCCTGGGGTCACCTACCAGGAAAGCATCCCTGCCACCTGCAGTGACACACCTGGCTCACAGAACCTGGATCCCAAGGAGAAATGCAGGATGGAGAACCCAGACCACCAGGCTCCTGCAGTGAAGTTCCACAGAGGCTGCCCTAAGCCCTTCTTTGGTTTTTCAAGCAAAGCCACGTGGGTCTAAAATATTATAATTTACACACAAAAGATGATGCAAGTTGCTGGAAGACAGATGCTTGTCTGATTAGGTTTCTTCCTGGCAAGCAGTAAGAAAACACTCCAATAGCCAAAGAAATCTTACTCGGGAGCACAAAGACTTATCCTTAACATCCTCAGTACCAGACATGAGTCTCCCTGGACTCACCCACATTGTTCCTCTGAATGTTTATATGCTCCAAGCCATAACCTGGGCTGGCAAAACCAAAACACACACACGGCAACAGAAGAAAACAAAGAAAACAACCACCCTCAAGCCCTGTAGATCTGTTTCTGCAGAAGTCCGTGGGCTACACAGGAGGAATATATGTACTGAACACCACTGACAGGGCTATGGGGAGGAAACCATGGATCTGTTCACCCCAACTACAAGCAGCTGGATCATCCATTACTCCGTGGACTGGCACTCCTGCACCTGCAAAGATCTGTGTCACTGTGTCACCAGGAGAGAACCAGCTCTCTCCAGCCAGCTCTGGCCACCCAACTGCCAAGCAACCAGCCTAAACACCTCCACATGCAGCTCTTAAATCAAACCTCTGACCAGCACCTGATTGTTGAACTGAAGTTATTTTTCTTGTTACATTTCCTAGTTCACAACTGGGGTCCAAGACAGATCTGACTCAAACACTTCACAGAGGGAAGTCCAACAACAGCAGCATTCCCACAGACACCACTGGAGCAGGGCAGGGCTTGGAACTTGGAAGACCTCAACAAGGAGATTCCCTAAGACAAAAGGACTAAGACATACCTGTGGCCATGTCTCCCAACCCCAAAAGTGACCAAATACGGGCTGATTCAGGGATGTTCCGTACAGCTGCTTCTCCAGGGCAGCCCAGCACAGGGAGGGAACCCGCAGCCCCGCTAATTAAACCAGAAACTTTTGACAGCAGCTGTGCCCGGGCTCCAGGCCGGGCTCTCTCCAGAGGCTCAGGTTCGCTCCACGGAGCCTTAAACCATCCGAAAGGAGGAGAATGGACCAACCCGTCCCCACAACCCTGCCCAGCACACACCGACCCGCTGCGGGACGGCACCTCCCGAGCCCATCCCGGGAGCCGGGACCGGCGGGAGGCGGCGGAGGCCGCAGGGACCCCCGGCGGAGGGCGGGCAGCTCGTTCCGGAGCCCGCCCGGCGGGCCGGGGGGCCGCGCTCGCACCGCGCCGGGGGCGCATCCCCTTCCCATCGGGCCGGGGAAGGGAAACAAGCGGGAAGGAGACCCCCGGCCCCGGCGGCCCCGGGTCCGGGCCCGGCACGGGCAGCACCGTCCGCAACCCCCTGGGCGGCCCCGGACCCGGCTCGGCCCCACGGCGGCGATGGCGGCGCCGCCGGCCCCGTTACTCGGGGAGGGGCTGGGCGCGGCGGGGAGGCCCCGGGGCCCAGCCGAGCCCCCGCGCCCCTTCCTCGGAGCGCCCCCACCCCGGGCCTCACCAGGCGGGCGGCCTCGGCCCACGTGCGCTCCTTCTTCCTCCTCTGCTTCATCTCCTTCATCCTCCTCCTCCTCCTCCTCCCGCGCGGGCGGGCGCGGCGGGCGCGGACCGTTGGGCGCGCAGGCGGGCGGGCGGGCGGGCGGCGGCCGGGCCGGGCCGGGCCGGGGCGGGGCAGGGCGGGCGCGGCGGGCGCGGCGGGCGGGGCGCGAGGCGGGGGCGGCTCCGGGCGCTACGGGAGGAGGCGGCGGCGGCGGCGGCGGCGGCTCGGGCCCGGCATAACAACGGGGTCAAAGGGCCGGGAGCGGGGCGGGGCGGCGGGGCCCGGCGACGGTGGCCGCGGCGGGACACGGCGGGAGCGGAGGGGCGGGGACCAGGGGGGCGGTGCCGGGGATGATTTGAAGGAAAACAAACCGCAAGGGCCGCCGGGAGTTGTAGTCCACGTGGGCGGACCCACCGTGGGAGTGAGGCGGCCCGCGGACTGCAAGTCCCGGCGGGCTCCGCGCGGCATGGCGGGAGAGGCCGCTGCCGCCGCATGGCCGCGGTGGGGGGGCGGCACCGCCCGGGCCGGGGGCGGCGGTGGGACCGGGCTGGGGAGGGGGCCGGGGCCGAGACCCTGCGATAGCCCCCCGGGTGAGAGCCGCGACTGTTCGCGTTCTGGCATCGGGGTTATCACAGGATCAGAATGATTTAGGTTGGGAAGGACCCGAGGTCATCGGGTCCAAGCTGTGACCGAACGCCACCACATCAACCACAGACCATGGCACCGAGTGCCACGTCCACTCTGTCCTCGCACACCATCAGGGACGGTGACTCCACTACTGCCCTGGGGAGCCCATTCCTATGCCTGAGCACCCTTCCTGTGAAGAAATTCCTCCTGATGTCCAACCTAAACCTCCCCTGGCACAGTTTAAGACTCTGTTCTCCTCCTGTCGCTGTTCACCTGGGAGCAGAGCCCGACTCCCACGTGGATACACCCTCCCGTCAGGGAGTTGTAGAGTGATAAGGCCACCCCTTAACCTCCTTTTCTACAGGCAAAACACCCCCAGCTCCCTCAGCTGGTCCTCATTAGACTTGGGCTCCAGACCCTTCTGGACCTTCTAGCATTTTCTACTCATATTTACATATATATATATGTATATACACACACACACACATTACAAAACTCACTGCAGTTCTGCTCACATTTAACCACTTAGTTTACCCGGAGACTTTTTTTTTTTTAAAGGGAAAAACAACACAAGGCTTTGTAAAACATGGAGTTGCTGAGCCCTGCCCCAAATTAACAATGAAAACCACACGTTTTGATAGATGCAATAAATCTTATTGACTTTATTACATGTCATATTTTAGGATCACTTTACATTCCTAGACAAAAGAGATGATACAAATAAATATAAGCTGTAAAACTATGGACAGAACTATGGACAGGTTCTTTTTTTTCTATAGATCACCTAAGAGAAGGCGGAGGTGGGTGTATCTTCAAGGAGCTGAGAGTTCTCATGGACAGCTGTGCCCACGGAGGGGATTCTGGGGCACCTCTTCAAAAAGAAAGGGAGCTGGAGAAGGCAGTAAGTGCCTGGACCCCGGAGAGTCAACCCCCTCCTGCACACTGCAGCAGGCAGGACCGGTGTTCTCATTTCAGTTCCATCTCCGCAGCTAATTATGGCTTTTGCAGCTTCTCTTTTCCAATTTGCGGAAAAGGCTCCGTGGAGCGAACACAGCACGAACAGGCCCCCCCAAGGGATCACACTGAACTGTTTAAAGCCTGGTGCACATTAACCAGCACAGACAGGAGAGAGGACAGGTCCAGAGGCGTCTCACTGGAACTCCAGCGCTGCCTGTTCAGCGAGGGCAGAGTTAAACACCTAAAACTGGCTGAACACAGGCCTGCTCTGATCTGTATAAGGCACCGGCGCAGCCCCGGGTGCTCTGGCAGAGGTATGTGTGTTTGAGAAGATTCAAGCAGCATGCAAATGTTTTTTAAAAAGGCGCTGGACTTAAGGATTTCAGAAAGTGCTTTAATTCCTATGCGTCAGTGTCACACGGCGCTCGCTCCAGCACCAAGGGCCCACTCCTGCCCCATGCCACTTCTTAAAAAAAAAGATCCCATTATACAGATCAGAGCAAAGACAAGGATGTTAAACATTCCTATGAAGAAAGGGTGGTGGTGCACACTGTCCCAGGGCCTCTTCCAGGAGTCTGGCTGGATTTCCTGCCTTCAGTTAACCAGCAGGAAGCCCAGATGGTTCAGATATCACCCGGAGAGGGGCAAACTCGGCAGGAATGTTTCTTAAAAGCTTCAACCCAGAGCTCAGTATGTTTCGTACAGTTTAAGACAATGTATCTTAACTTAGTGTCAGTGCCACTGAGCATCTGGTGAGGGTAAATCCATTGGAATGAGAATCCAAAAAGCTTCTGTAAAAGGCCGAGATTGCCAATGAACACACTGACCAAATCTCCACTGCAGCCCCAATTTACATACAATGACTAAATATGCAGATTTATTCTTTTTTCCACCCTACTGAGTTTCTTTCACCTCGCTAATGAATTTCTACAGAGTTAAAAGCAGAGCCTTTCTGACACATCACCAGCTCATCAACATGAAAACAGGTTTGCACTGCAGAGTCCCATGGCACCAGCCCTGCCACGAGGGCAGTTTCCAGCATATCAGTTTAATATAGAATTCCCTATGGAATAGTAGCAACTGAGGAAGAGTGTGCACATGTGCAGACACAGAGGTGTCCATGTATGCATTACTCACATAAAACATGTGTACACAGGTATGTACATAGACGTGGTTATATACTGTGCTGCTATTTCAGGGTTTTAAACCCCGCTTGTTTCATTTCCATTCTCTGAGCACTTACTCCATACAATCATCTTTTAAAATGTCCCAGCACAGAAGAGTATGTGCTGGGGAGAAAGAGGGAGGAGAGGGCAGAGAAGGTGATGTTATATTATGCAACAAAAACCAATTAAAAGGCTCTCTGGATATAAACAGTGCTTTATAAAAAGGAAGATTATGCTGGGATTCCATGTTCAGGTTGAAAGAAATTGGTCATGTGCCTGCTCTCTCAATTATAAGCAAATTCCTCCTTCCTCCACCAAAACTAATATATATATATATTTATATGTGCATATATGTGAATCCATATATTAACGTTGTGGCCCAGGGAAGCAGTCCATGGGTTGCAGCAGCCAAGTTGGTGTTTAAGGGCCCACCTGGGCAGCTGGCTCACCTGGGCACCGTGCCTGCAGGATGCAGAGGTGAGCTGTGCTGAGCGCTCGGTTCCTCCTGCTCAGGGGGTCAGCAGAACGGAGTTCTCCAGCCTGGGTGAAGTCACTCCATGGACACTTAACAAGCACAAGGCAGAGTCCACACATCAGAGCATTTCTACAACCAGGCAAGTCCTCACACACTCACACGTGTCAGTCTGGAGGAAGTCGTCAGTGAGGGGAACAGGTAAAAACGTTCACAGGATGACAGCCAAGAGCAACCAGAAAAAGTAACATCCCAAGTCTCAATATACAGCGAACTAAAACTTACAAATGAGCTGTGGGACACTAGACAGGGACACCTTACTCTGTCCTTAGTGTGGAGTTCCACCTCCCTCTAGCCTGCTACACGAGCCTGCGGCGTTACAGGAGGCTGCTTTAGTCATAGGGCAGCTTTGCAAGGAGACCATCAAAAGCAGTTCTTCCTCCCTTGTTTTCAAAGTAAAACCCCTGGAATTAACACCAGCTTCCATCATCCAGCCTCAGTTAGATCTGCTTTCACTCCCAGTGGGCTCTGCATGGGCTGGGAGGTGCAGAGGGAAAGCTGCTCAACCCTGGAACAAGTGAGGCACCAAATGCTGAACCTCATTAGACACCAAGGGAAGGGACCATACTCCCAGGAGTGCACTCAAAGGCAGCTACATGTTCCAGTGCTCTGCCCAGCTTACAGGAGAGCCTGAGCCTGGCAGGAAGAGCTCTGAGCCAATGCTACATTTCCCATGAAGAGTGAGAGACATGAGAAAATGGCCATATGCCATTAAAGATGTCATATGGACACTGGTTTTAAATGCCAGGGGTAAAGTAGGAGGCAAGAGAGAGGAGGAAAGCTGTGGAGCTGGCACTGGCATGCAGAGGTGTTCCTTGACAAGGTGGTTCCTGTTGGTAGGGGTGAGGTCTGTAGGAGGTCAGCACAGAGGAGCTCTTACTTATGCCTGTAAACAAGGAAAGGACTTCAGATTCTACTGCTTCCTTTCTAGAGAGCACAGAATTGTTTTCAAGACCCCTTTTTGTCCTACAGCTCTAAAGGGAGGCACAGCTGTGTGTTTTTGAGGACACACTGGCCACTGCCATCCTGCCTGTTCAGACCAACACCTTAACCCCAGATCTCTCAAGCAGGAAGAGGAAGAAATGTGCACCTTGTCAAGTTCAAACAGATCCTCTGCTTTTTAGCCTCATTTGGTTCTCACTGTGTAGCTCTGGAATGATGGTTCTGTTGAGATGACTTTCAACTCTGTCTTCTTACTGCCCAACAGCCAAAAAGCCCAGTGCAGCAGAAGGGCTGGTGCAGGAGGAGGACGGTGATGCTGTGAGGTGATCCCCATGCTTCCCATTGCTCCTAACACACTTTAACGTACCTCATGCATTTTTGATTTCCTAACTAAAATCCATTTCCCACAGAGGCCAAATGCTGAATTGCAAGCACGGATCTTCCCGTGGCTCAGTGCCCCTGGACTGGCCCGAGTCAGTCAAACAGCAACAAGGCCATCTCCAGGGAAAGGGGCTGGAGGCTGGCCGGGAGCTCTCTCTGCAGGTTTTTATTTGTCTCTGCTCCCAGAAGGCAAAGGCTGTTCCCTCCCTGGAGAGGAGCTGCTGGTTTTACTTTGGAACCAGCCCTCGTGACTGTGGGTAGAGCTGAGAACTGTGGGAGCCTGCTGACGAGGATCCCGACGATTTCCTTCCAGTTTTCGGCCTAAAGAAGTGAAAATGAAAACATAAACAAAAAGAGCTCTAACAGTGTCACCTGTTACTTTCCAAAATTAATCTTCAAAAAGCCAATTCTTTTACTGGATTTATTCTCTAATCAGTTTTAGCTTTCTCTTCTGTCCCATGTCCTACACAGCTCCCGGAAAGGGGGTTGTGGCAGGGTGGGGATTGGCCTCTTTTCCAGGGTAACAAGTGATAGGACAAGGGGAAACTGCCTCAATTTGTACCAGAGGAGGTTCAGTTTGGATACTAGGAAAAATTTCTTCGCTAAAAGAGTGGTTAAGCATTGGAACAGGTCGCTCAGGGCAGTGGTGGAGCCACCATCCCTGGAAAATGTTCAAAATACAAGTAGATGTGGCAGCTTGTAATACGGCTTAGTGGGCAAGGTGGGATTTGGTCGAAGGTTGGACTTGAATCTTGAAAGTCTTTTCCAATCTTGATGATTCTACGATTCTATGCTCCTTTTTCTCTCTCTCTCTCTTTGCTTTGCAGCCAAGCTTGGCTTCACTTCACTGACAAGAGGCCCTGACAAACAGCGGCTGTACTCGCGCCTCTCCCCGTGGGCCAGTCTGCTCACCGGAGGCCTGACTCACCTGGGTTTTGATTTTTTATTTGAAGTGCTCTCAAAGGTCGAGGCGTCCACCTGAATCTCATCTTCATCCTGCAGAGCTGCTTCTAGAGCTGCCTGAACTTTGGGAGCGATGGCTGGACCTTCGTAGTCCCTCGTCGTTCGGCTGGGCCCGTCCAGTTCCAGTAACACGATGTTCTCTGCCTGAGACAGGAAAAGCAGAATCAAAGTCTCCGTGTTTTCATACAAACTGTAACTTTTCCCTCCAGAAACTTATTCTGAAGTACGTTATAAACGTATGCAGGAAATTTTACATCTCACAGAAGAACACAAAATCCTCTGGGATTCACCTGATCAGGAGGGTAAAGACAAAAAGGGGGCTTACCCTGTACCGAGCCTCTGGATGAACCATCATGGATGTCCTGGCGTGTTGGCTCAGGGGCCTTTTGTATCCCACAGCAGATACTGGCCTTTTCATCATCTGCTGGTTACTAGAGAAAAATAGAGACTCAGTCTGTTATACCCCAAAACCAAAGGCCCCTCTTGAAGTTTATGAGCTGCAACATCTCCAAATTCCACACAGAAATCTGTTTCAAGAGAGCAGAAACTACCCAGGCTGCATTTGCAGGAGCAGGAAAGAAATATGATAGGAATGTACTGCTATTTTAATGGTGAATGCACTGTTATATATATTTTACATATGATTATTGGGCTCACATGGAAGAAAAATCCCAATCTTCAAAGAATTTTCCTAACTGTACATTTCTATTTTACTGAACCTACTAAGAGGAATAAATTGTTTTATTTCATTGTGCAGCAAGAACCTGTGAACTCTAGAGGGCCACTTTAAATCCCAAATTCAATCCCTTGTTCTTGACACAGCTGGAGGGTTTCCTGTCACCTGTAATTCCATTCCAAGAAAAGAGCAGAAGTACACTCACTCCAGACGGGTTATGGGATGCAGTTTCCAGTGATCTTCCTCTTCATCAAAGAATGATCTGTTCATGATCTTATTCTTTTCTTCCAAGGGAATAAAATTTTCAATAATCAGGTGCCTACGTGCAACCACAAAAATGAGAAATACACAAGAAACATAATTAGCAGATGACTTTCCTCACTGCTCCTCTCCTGATGATGTAATACAGCCCTGGAAAAGCAGGAATGGTTTAGTTCCCTTATGTTTAAATCTTGTTCCACAAGTATGTGCAAGGCAGTACCTCCACTCCCCACCCAGGGAAGCCCTCTCTGTTACAGTTAATACAGTGATGGGACTTACTTTAGCTTTAGTTCCCTGGTAAGTTCATTCTGGGTCTGTTCCAGTTCCTGGCGCTCCTTGATGTGCTCTTCTTGGAGATCATGGATCTCTGCCTTCACAGCTTGCAGCTTGGAAAATAACTGGAACAGACAACAAGGGCCAAAATTTATCACTTGCCAATGTTGCTCTCACTTTCACACATGAGTTGATTTTGTTCCCAGCCCTCTAGACAAGGAATAATTTATTATTTTTTTCTTACCTTTTTGAGTTTTTTGGTCTTTATGTCCACCTCTTGCTGAAGGGAACTATAGGTCTCCTTCAGCTCTAGTGTTTCCTCGTCCCGACTTTCCATCTGTTGCTGGATTTCTCGCTCCCGACGTTTCTGAAGAACGTGACACAGGGAATTAAAGACCACAATTACCTTGTCACCTCCAGCTGACACACATGAAACCAACACTCAGGATGGGTTTACTGCCCTGCCTTCCAGGGCTTTTCCTGTGGCTTCCAGTTCTTCCTATCTCTTGCCTTAGAAATACCAGAAGCATTAACAACTCTTCTTTGTCCTTTTTTTTTGCTACTTAAGTCAGATAGTGTGAATAAGTGCTCAGGCTTCAATTAAAGGAATGTCATCTTCAGATTCTGGTGGTTTTTTAACATTCTTTTTATCAATTCATACTAGTCATTGCATTTAAAAATCACCAACAGAAACTGCATAAAAATAGAAAATAGTTTATAGAAAATAAACTTTTTAGCCCAGAGTAAACATCCCTCCTTTTGAGCTGATGGCTGAACTGGTATTCTTGGAGGTCTTACAATTATTTCTTCACCTACAGACAGCTCCAGTCAAGATAGGACATAAGTCTTTAACATGAAGAGCTAGAAGAAAATGATCATAAACCTTCTCTACATATTTCAAACAATGACAAATAGGACACAAGCCCTTCCCCCTTCTTTTCAGATAAATGATTGCTATTAAACCAATTTTAGGGTTAACCCTGGGAAAATTTTCTGATAGCTTCCCCTGATACAATGTTTTACAAAGGTTCCACAGCAAGGATTTTTATACAAAATAACAAATCTCCTTCCTTGTACCTGTTCTGCAATTTCCTGTCGTTTCTGTTCCAGGATTTTCTGCTGTTCATTTGTGTGATCCACAATATTTTTCCCTCCCACCAGGAGCTTGCTTTCCATTGTCTGAAAGGAAAAACCAAGGTCAGAAGTTTCTCTCAGTGACCAGAGAATGTAACTTTCTCTTCTATGGATACAACTTCTTCAGGGCAGCTCCCTTATTTAACCTTCTCTTTCAAGGCAGCTGCTACAAGAATTGCTATATATATATAAAATTCCTATAAAACTGTGAGATTAACAAAACAGTAACTTGCTTAGAATTAGGCATTGCTGCAACGTGTGGCAAAGCTGGAGAACCAAAAGGTGTACTCCCCTGTAAAGAACTTTTTAGTGATTTGTGACAGAATGAGGCATGTTTTGTGCCACAGCTTGTGAAAAGATGCATCATCACATTCTGTTGTGCCAGTTTCTTAAGATATAAGAACAATGAAACAACTCATGAATATTAAAACATGAAATTAATGGTGGAAATTTCAACTTCTGGCTAGAAATAGCTTATTTTAAAATCTTCCAATCTAAACACAAAATCACTATCCCAGAAACTTTTTGTGAAATATATTTCCAAATTGGGAAACCCTCCATTCTCCCCAAAGCCTAGAGAAATTGCTTTCAAAGAGCATCACAAGGAAGGATTCTACCTTGATTTTAGCACTCAGCATTTCTGTCGCTTCCTTCTCTCGCTTCAGGTCCTCCATTTTCTTCTCCTTCTCTTTCAGCAGCCTCATTTTTTCTTCTGCTACCAAGCTGTGATCCTCAACTATAGCTTTCTTCTCAATCTCCAGCTTTTCTTGTTGCTCCCTCCAGTAGTCATCTTTGTCATCTCCTTCATCCTCACCCTCTTCAGTGTCCTCCTCCTCTTCCCCACCATCTCTCCTCCTTTCCCTCCTCTTTCTTTTGCCAATAGACCGTTTTTCCAGCTGTGCCTTGAGTCGAGCAATCTCCTCCTGGAATTCTCGTAGCAGAGCCTCCTTAGGATCCTCATTGACCTGTGGCTTGTTCTTGATGTTTTTGGCACGGTTGGCATATCTCAGTGTGGTCAGTGTCTCCTCCACGTTGTAGGAGGCAGGGCCTATATTGGCCACCATCACAGTTTTGGCATTGCCACCTAACGAGTCCTGGAGTAACCTGGTCAGCTTGGAGTCCCGGTACGGAATGTGTGTGCTTTTCCCATCTACCAGGGCAGAGATGACGTTGCCCAAAGCTGAGAGAGAGAGGTTGATTTTAGTAGCTTCCTTTAACCTTTCCCCCTGTGCCCCAGTCTTGGCTTGCCGCTCGCTGCCTGCGAGGTCGACCAGGTTGAGCTTCCCGACACGGATGTGATTCTCTCCGTCCAGTCCCAGCTCGCTGCATTCAATGGTGATCTGGAAAATGGCATGAGATCGAGAGCTGTGTTCGTTCATGTTGGTGGCACCAACGGAGCGGTTCTGGTTTCCCAAATTCATGATGTGCTCGATCTCTTTGACGCTTTTCGTAACAACGGTGGTCAAATCCTTAACAAACACCCCTGTGTCTGGTCTCTCCTTCAACTCCAGCCGCTTGGACTGATCCTTTGATAACAAGTCTCTGATTTCTTCTTGGTATATTTCCAAATAAGACGCTCTAACTAAGTATTGCTGATTTTGAGATCTAGAGATGTGGGTGAAGATGTGATCGAATGAATTGGGGATGACCCCTCTCTTTTCGGGATCACCACGCACCCCTTCCATCGTATATGTTTTCCCCGTCCCAGTCTGCCCATAGGCAAAAATTGTCCCATTAAACCCTTGCAGAACAGAGTCCACAAGAGGTCTGAAGGTCTCATCGTAGAGTTCGACCTGTTTGGAATTCCAGTCATACACGGCATCAAAGGTGAAAGTTTTAGGCAGTTCATGAGATGCTCCCCGCGGATTCTTCACTGAGACCTGCCCTAACTTGACATCCACATTAACAACTTTCTCGTAGGAAGCAGTTTTCTCCTTGCTGTTCATGGGCCGGCAGCGCACCACCACCCGCACGGACTCGGAGCTCTTTGGCTTGGACATGACGGCGGGTCTGTGGCTGGTGTGATCCGATGGGTGGATGATCCCGTGCTAGAAACCTGAAACAAAAACAAAGCAGGAATGTCTGGAGGCAGTTTTCTGCACAAAGCCGAAGACCCGACTCATCTACTCGAGTAGCATTTTGCATTCATTAAGCTGCAAGGGATTTTTGAGAATTAAAATAATGGGCACCATGAAAACTCTGTAAAGGCCTGAACTGAAACACTACTATTTTACCAAAGCTTGTGCATCAAATGGTATCACTTTTACAAGCTCTGCTGCAAAAAATGGTCATCAAATCACATTTTTACAGCTGGTAAAGATCTCTTTCTTGACCCTTAAAAATAATCATAATGCTATTTAAACTATTTATAAAGAGAATACTTTGCTATTTATTTTCTTTGCAGTCGAGCCTTTTGTTTCAAATCTCCTGTTTTGAAAATCTAGTACAGCCTTGCTCTCTCTGGCACACAATTCCGCTATTATTTTTTCTTTTGGCATTATACTTCTGCCAGGATTCTCCACAAAAGCCAGCCCTGCCCAAGCACACTGACCTATGACATCACTCCACGCTCCTGCTCAGGAGGTTTACAGGATTCAGCATCAACCTAAATTTACGTTGCATAAACCCAGTTCAAAGATCATGACTCTGGGTAGAGAGAAAGGACACACTTGGTGCATCCCCCAGTCACCAGCCTTTTAAAATGGAACAAAAAGCCTGTGTTCCTGCTAAAGCAGTCCCTGTTAAAGCCTCAGAAGGCAGATCTCAATGGCATAGCTTGGGGAATGTCATGTGGTTTCCAATAAGCCTTTTTATTTCCAAAATGTCTTTCAAGAAGAGCTCTGAGGTCCTTCTGTCAACTGGAACTAAGTGTAAAACCAACACACACTGGGAACCCCAGGTAGAGCTGGCACACGTTCAGGTGTGGCCTCCTCGGGATGTGCTGGCTGTTCCCTTCCCATCTGGATCTCCAGGAAACATGGATTTTGTCCAACTGTTTTTTTACTTGATAATTGCACATCTCAGGAGAGCTCCTCAAACAAAGTGACAGAGAACTTCAGAACCAGAGGATGAGAAAAGAACCACAATGATTCTCGCACAATATCCAATCTCGGAAAGAGTAACACAGGAATAACAAATAAACATGGTTAAAACCATGTTTAATAAACCTCAATACAGCCTTGGGAATTTCCTTCAGTTTGTGGGAGGAAACTCCTTGCTCCTTGCTCTTCCCAGAGAAGCACACAGTAGCTGACAGGGAGATGAGGAATATGCATCGAATTGACCAAACTGAACACTCATCCAGAATTCACTTTACACCCTGCACAGTGAATTCACACTGCTGCAGGAATCTTGGGTAGCTACTGAATAAAACCACTTCCCTCCTAAGTGACAGCTCCAGATAAAGGTGACCTTCCTCTCCCACCCACAGCAAACACGAATTCTAGAGCACCAGCACAGAAAAAATATGTTAAACGAGGACAAATCTTGGCAGAATCACAAAAAGCAACTCTCCCTCCTCTCATCCTGAGGATTTGTATACATCAACAAGCACTTCTTCTGCCACAGCTACCAAGGATATTCCTGTAATTCAAGTTCACAAGAGACAATTTTTTTTTGGACAAGGTCACATGACAACCACTGTGTGACGTATCTGCACGTTCACACTGGTAAATACTCAAATTAGGCACCAGTTCTGAAAAGCAGAACACAGATTTATTTTATATATTGAACATCCAAAATACTATTCTGACGAGAAGTGCCACTTTTGTAAGCAACTGTGATAAATATTACATGATCAGAATGAAGTTAGTCTTGCCAGAGGTATACACTGAACAAAAATTACGTTGCACGTTTGCTGCTCTTCTGGGTGTATCTCCTTAACATGAGCTTGAGCAGCTTTTAACACCTTTCCACATTTCACTTGCAAGTCTCTTTTTATAGTCACAAACAACTGATTTCACCCCTGATTTGGGCTATTTTCATAACAACCTATCACGAATCATCTCCAATTATTTTAGCTACCGCAGTGAAGTTTACTGGAAGCATAACAAATTATGGTTCTTCTCAGACTTACCCAAGTGTGTAACTGGACAGTAAAACCAATTAGTTGGCAGTGTTTCTACTCCCCAGAAACGCCAGGGCAATGTTTGAGCTGGACAGGAATGGCCAGAAAGCTGAGAATGCTGACGTGCCATCCACTCTTCTCCATCAAAAAGGGGAATTCCTTCATTAAATTAGTTCAGCTTAAAGTGACCTGGGCCAGGTCCCTGTGTCAAGGTCAAGCTTGAGGTGGATGCACTTGAAGATGTGCCCCAGGTGCCCAAGAGGGGAGGGTGGGCAGAAATGGAAGCATTTTTATTTCAGTAAACACAAGCTTGTGCATGAAAAAAAAATAAGCAACGTCACAACCTGAATGCAAGCTGGGGTAACCACTTCTCAGAAACTTCCAGCATTGGGAGGTGCTGGCTTGGCTGGTTGTGCCCCAGGCACACTGTCCCCAGCCACCTGCCCTGACAGGTCCTGACTTCTCTCCACTTCCTACCTTGACCTTAAACATCCCAGAAAGATTTCCCTGGAGCTGCCCAAACCCTTCCCTTGCATCTCCGCACATCCCCAGATATACCGCTCGAAACATCCCATTGCTCCTCGCCGTTTAAATCTTTCAAATACTTGTGGGTTCACAACGCCCTGGTTATGGACCCTCCCAACCCAAACCCTCCCTTGTGCTGCTGTTTCTCCTCTCGCCTCCCCACTGAACCCTCCGCAGGCCGGGCGGGACTGCCACGGGCAGGACCCCGGTATTGCCGCGGTGTGGCCCGGTTACACCCAGCACCTGTGGTCACCTCTGGTCACCTGTGGTCACCTCTGTCACCGCTGTCACCCCACGGGTGTCCCCTCCCCCGGGGAGCCGGGACCGTGGCGGATCCACCCGAGCATCACCCGCCGCCCTCGCGGCTGCGACACAGGGCGCTGCAGGGAAAAGGGGACCCGAGGGCGCTCGGGGGACGGGGACAGCGCGCAAGGAGGAAAAGAACCGCGGGAGGGAAGCACCGCCAGCGCGGGGGGCACCCACCCGAACGCGACCACCCACCCGCCCGCGGCATCGCCACCGCAGCCCGGCCGCGGGCGAGTCCCGCCGCCTCTCTCGCTCGCTGCCCGGGCCGCGGCAGCGGGGGCGGCCCAAAGGGCCCGGGTTGTGCCCCCGCGGGCCGGGCCGGGGGGTGGCGGGCGCTCGGGGCGCGGCGCGGGGCCGGGCCGGACTCACCTGCGCCGTCACCATGGAGCCGCCCGGCCGCGGGCCCGGAAGCGGCGCGGCCGCCCCGCCCGCCCGTGACGCGCTTCCCTGGCAACGGCCGCGCCCGCCCCGCTCCCGCCGGGAACCGGGACAAAGGGGCCGCTGGCCCCCCTCCTCCCCGCGCCGCGGGCAATTCCAACAACCCCCAAAGTGCCGGGGCTTGCCCCCCACCCGGCGCGTCCCGCAGGAGCCTCCGAGCTCCTTCAGAGCTCAGGGATGTTTCCGAGGAGGAAAAGACCACCGTAAATAGAAGGCATTTAGGGTGAAGCCTCCCCGCCCTCCTCGTAACAGCGCTGTCTGGACCGCAGCAGTGCCTCCGGTGCACTCCTTCCACAGCCCTGGTACCACAGACTCCCGTGATGGAGGAAGGAATGTCGGGGCACTACCAGTGAATACAAAATCAAGTTTTTATTAGTACAAAAAATACCTTTTTTTTTTCTTTTTTAATTATTTTCTAAAAATCCCCCACCCCTAATGTTTTAATACTTCGTCTTCCCAACAGTGCAGGGAAAGGCTCCCCTTGCTCCGAAGCCAGGCATGGCAGCCCTAAGGGCATCACTCAAGACCAGTAAACTGTATGAAACACCAAGGAGGAGCAAGGTCTCCAGAAGCCCGGCTTCCAGAGACCCCAAAACCACTGATTTTCCCCCAAATCCCATGATTTTTGAACCCAGCCCTGAGGAAATAAGAGATGATGAACCTTTGCCACCCTGACACCTGGGGGATCGTCTCAATTAGCCCTTTTTTGCTCCCTTCCTTCAGCCTTCAAACTCCTAATGCTCAGGAGTGACTCCAAGGAGGAAGAGACCACCATAAAAAAAGATATGTAGAGTTAAACCTCGGTAACAGCGCTATCTGGACCACAGCAGGGCACTGGAGACAGCAGCTCCAGTACCACAGACTCACACAAGTGGCATTTTTAAAAAAGGAACAGTTCTGTATTCAGTCTTTGGACCAAAAAATGAAGTCACAGAAGCACCAAAAGGCATTGGTCAAGTTGAGTTTCACCATGTTGGGATTGTCAGTGTTACCAGCACCAAACTGTACTGAGCCAAACGGAGAGGTCTGGGCTGCTGCTTCCCCATCAATGAACAGCAACGTTCCAGAGTTATCTCCCCTGGGAACTGCCCCCCAGACAAGGGTGACGCTCTCAGAGGGGTTATTTTATAAAGTACAAAACCAAACAGAAACCACTACCATAGACCCAAGCACGACGTACCCAACCCCACTACAGCTACTTTAATAATCCTGGCTCAAAGTTTCACTCCTCCTACAGACCTCACCGACATCAACAGCTACAAAGCTACAAGCTCTAAATCTCCACCTCTGGCCTGGCTGTGACAGATCTCCTGTGTCCCTGCATGTGCCTTCCCCCATGTTGACGTAGAGGCTGAAGAGGCAGCTGCCACTGTGCCCCACTGTGCTCCTCCAGCACTGCTGAAGGGATCCAGGGCCCCCCAGCACTGGGAATGGAATCTCTTTGGACAGGGAAAGGGACACTGAGGCACTAAAGCGACAGGCATCTGGTAAGGCAACAGCTGCCCTCAATAAACTCAGAGCTTTTTCAGCTCTGAGCTTCACCTTGCATGCCCTTTCCAGGGATCCTGATATGCCTGACAATACTTTTGCAATTAAAAGAACCAATTATGGTCAGCTTTGAGCAAGAAGCTTCAAAACATCTCTAGGTAAGAGTTAAGAATTAACGTTAAAAAAAAGAAGAGGAAATCTGAGCAGCTGCTTCATCATGATCGCTGGTGAGCCCCAAAGAGTGAGAATGGAGAGCTATAAAAAACTACATCTTAAAAAACTATATGTAGTTTATAGTTCCCTATAAACTATAGGATTTAAAACTTCTATCTGACCTCACGTTGGAAATTCAGGAGATGTCAGAGAGAACAGTCTAGAAATGACCGTGAGGAGCGTCAGAGGGCAGGAGCAGGTGTGGGCAGCCCGGCAGTGACTGCACACGGGGGAACCAGCAGCACCAAGGGCTGAGCTCACAGCCCTGAGAACCACAGAGCCTGTTCTCCTTTGCTCAGAACTCATCCCGTAACCTGGGGGGGTGGTCCATGCCAAAAAACGAGGAGGGTTTCCCGTGGATGTCGCGCTCTCTTTTCACAAAGGCGGTGAAGGAAGAGACGCAGTTCCCGATGAAGTGATCGGACTGGCCAAGGATGTACAGATCAACCTGAGGCACTTCTGGCTGCAAGCTGACAACCTTGAGCTGCAGAGAAACAAGGGAAGCAGGTAAATCCAGTCAGCTATTGTTACAATTCAATGTCTTGGCGTAATAGATTGTATTAGAAATAGGAATACGCAACAGAAAGAGGGAGGTTTGTCTTACACTGCCCTATAACTCATTTATGATTAGATCAGTGTCAGAACATTTTTGAAAATCACTTGGGTTTATTTAATTTAAGCCCTTTTCAAGGAGATATTTACTACCATGCCAGATAATGCTCTTCAACCTCCGGGAAACAAAGAGTTTTTTACATGATAATTTTTATTGCTATAAGTCAAATTCACCTTGAGATGGCAATGTTTGGCTGTGCATAACCTATTACACACAGCAGCCACAGGCCAGAATCCAAGGGAGATTTTTGCCAAAGCAATCCTGCCAGAATGGGTTTCTGGAAGACTCACCTTTCCTTGGAAGAACTGCTGTATTTCCGTTGTGTAGGGCTCGGAATCAGTAGCGATATAAATGGATTTAGCTTCAATCTTTGTCACCCAGACCTTGAGAGCACGCTTGATCTCCCTGAGGTCTGGCAGGCACATGTCCATGGTGAGAGGCACCGCAGCACTCCGGTCGTAGCCCACACACTGGGGTGAAGCCATGAAGTGAGGCCCAGCTGTCCCGTCCTTCAACATGTTGCAGGCGTTTTTCTATTGGAAGAGAAAAAGAGAATCATAGAATTATTAAGGTTGGAGAAGGCCTCCAAGATCATCAAGTCCAAACTTTGAATGAAACACCCCCATGCCCACTAAACCATATTGCAAAGTGCCACGTCTTCTTGGTTTTTTGGGCACTTCCAGGGATGGTGACTCCATCAGTGCCCTGGGCAGCCTGTGCCAGTGCTTAACCACTCTTTCAGTGAAGAATTTTCCCCTGATATCCAGCCTGAACCTCCTCTGGTGCAACTTGAGGCTATTTTCCCTTTTCCTGTCACTGAGAGAAGAGGCTGAACCCCATCTCACAACAACCTCCTTTTAGGTTCAAAGTACCACGTTTAAGTGGCAAGTGTGAGAAAATACCATCATGTTCCCAACCTCTGCCTGTTTGAAAGAATTCCAACAGCACTGCCACCACACAGGTTGCTCCTGAATGCCAGCAGGGATCAGGTGGCTGTCCCAGCACAGCTCCTTTCTGGTCAGCTCTGTCCCCACCCCAGTAGCCACCAGCCCATGTTGGAGCCGTACCCAGTCTGAGCCGATCCTCAGGTGAATCCCAACGTAGGGCCGGACCAGCAGAGACTGGATATAGGCTTCTCCCTTCTTCACCATTCCATCAGACCACTCCATGTACTTCTGGAGGGGCCGGTGCTCCTCCAAGACAGGGAATTGGGCTGGAGCTCCAGGTAAGGCAAGGACAGGGTGCTCAGAGGGTGGAAACCTGTGGAAAACCAAACCCCAGCAGTCTGAAACACGGCATAATCCTGGACACTCCATCCTGCATTAAGACTGAGGTGAAGGTTAGAATGGAAACCAGGAACATCCCAAAATGTGCACCATCTATTGCTCCAAATTTAGATCAGTTTTAACCATTTTGCCATCTGACAAAGCTCACTGACATTGAAGAAATTTGGATTGCTGTGTTTTACCTCAGACTTTTTATCAGACAGACAAAAAGTTAAGAACCTCACTGACTCACTGAGGAGCTACCAAGCAATGGGAGGTCATATTTTCCTCCCAGACTAGAGCAATTCTTTCACCCAAACTTACTAAAGTCGCTCATATCTCTGACAACACAAAGTAACCAGCAAAATGATGATCAGCAAATGAGAGCCAAATTAGTTTTGAAGATTAATTACATATGAATAATAATGAATAAACACTGTAGTTAAATATTACTGGCTCAGAAATCAATCTGATTTGGTGCAATCACACCTAATAGTGCCCACAGGAAGAGCTGAGCAAATATTTAATGGAAAAAAATTAAGATTTTTAATTACATTGTTAACTAAGTATTTCAATCTCTCCCCCAAAATGTAAATTCACAATACACAGTCATGACTGTTTTCATGAGTGACTCTAAATGCCCACTACCTTTGGATCCAGTGGTCCTTGTAAGCAGGACTGAAGGAAATTCCCTTGAAGAGCTCAGACTTATCAAAATCCACTTGGAACTGATCCCAGAACGGACCGAACGGGTTTCCATCCTGCAAAGGAAAGACAAGTGTTTGTTCAGTGCATTCACAGAGCCTGCAAGGCAGATCTAGCAAGATCCTGGAGTGCAAAGCTGGAGTTTTTCTGTTCTGGGAGGAAAGCAGCCAGAATACAACAGCCTGTCCGTCACAGGTCAGGGCCACAGAAAGGAAAATTACCTGAGAACTACTGCAAAGGCTGTCTTAAAGAAGGACACTACAGCCTTGTAGTTAAGAGAGGTTGCTTTAACACTGGCTGGAAAACTCTACCACAGCTGGGAAACAGAGCAGTCACAGTCAAGTCTGAAGTGATAAAATCTACTTGCACAGACCATCTTCCCGATCCCCAAACACTGGGAGACAAAGAAAAGGATGAAGGATGAAAAGAAAAGCATGCCTCTCCAAAAGCGGTGAAAGGAATGCCACAAAGACCCATTTGCGGTGGGTAACTCCCAAATTTGCAAATCAACGGCGACCTGAATGCGTCAGTCCTTTCCTTTGGAACCGCAGCGGAGACAAGCCTCGCCCGCGGGGCCGAGGAATAACTCACCTTCATGGGACAAGTGCTTTTGTCCGCGCTCCTCTGCGCCGCCGCCTCGAAGCAATAAGCCACCCGCCGTCCGGGCGGCCAGTGCAGGGGGGCCAGGTGCTCCATGAACTGCTCCAGGCTGAGGACGCGGTGGTACCGCTGGAGCGGCTCCAGCCTGAAGTGCTCCGAGTAGGGGACATGCAGCTGCGGGGGGGACAGAGCCCGTGAACCGGGGGCTCGGGGGACCGCCGAGCCTTCCCCGGAGCCCGCAGCTCATCCCCGGGAGTCCCTCCCCTGGTGCCCCGGAGCTCACACCTTACCCCCGGGAGAGATCCCGGCTCTGCCCTCCGCCCCCCCGCTCCCTCCCTGCGCCCGCCGGGGGCTCACGTTGGTGTAGGGCGGGCGGTGGTGCCGGTACTCGATCCAAGGCGGCACGGCCAGGGTCCGGTTGAGGGCGCGGGCGAAGGCCAGGGCTCCCAGAAAGTGCTCGGCCTGGTTCCCGAAGCGACCTGCGGGAGGGACGAGAGCGGGGATGGAGCGGGGGATGGAGCACCGGGGAGATGCAACTGGAGGATGGAGCAGGGGATGCAACCGGGGAATGGGGACCGGGAATCGCACCGGGGGATGAACCAGGGAACGCACCGAGGGATGCAGCGCGGGATGCGCCGGGGAAGGAACCCGGGGGGGATGCACCGGGTGAGGCACCGTGGGGATGCACAGGGGAGACACCTCGGGGACCGCGCCGCAGGGATGAAGCGGGAGACCCTCACCCATGCAGGGGCAGTAGAGCAGGTAACCGGCCGGGTCCCAGGCGGGCGCCGCGCCGCTCCCCGTCGCCGTCACCGGGAGGAGCAGCAGGATAAGAACGAGCAGCCCCGGCAGCGGCGGCGCCGCCATCGCAGCTCCCCCTCGTCGGCGGCCGCCAATTCCCGGCGCCACCATCCCGTCGTGCCCCGCGGGCGCGGCGCTCTGGCGGCCACCACCGAGGCGTGACGTCACTCCCAGAAGGCCCCGCGCAATGGCGCCGCCGGGGCCGGGGCCGGAGCCGCGCTTGGCGGGGCCCGGGGGAACGGGGTGAGCGCGGGGAGGGGGTGGGCGAGAGAGGGGGGCGGCACCGCAGCGAGGGGCGGTGGCACGGCCGCACCCTCCCCTGGGCGGCGGGGTGCCCTCAGGGGCAGGGGGGCGTGTGAGGAGGAGGAGGAGGATGCGGGGCGGGGTGGGGGGGCGTAGGCCGGGCCCGCCTCCCTCCCCTCAGGGCTGGGGGTGAGGGGGGCGATGTGGTCGCGTTCCACCGGGGTTGCTTCGTCCACGGGGCGCTCCGGGGGGTGTGCGTCTCCCGTTTGCATGGCGGTTGCGACAGCACCTTAAAACTCCTTATAATTTACTCGGAAAAACACCAAAACCCCAACTCCGTCTTCTTCCAGGTAGCTTTGAAACTGGCCCAGATGGCCGAGCTCGTTCGGAGGGAAAGGAGCAACGACCTGGTGAGAGTGGCGGAGACTCCCCGGAGACCTGTGGAGCAGGAGGTAGAGAAACGCTCGTTTTTGTTTTTTTTTTTTTTTTTTTACAGAGCTGGAAATATTCGTGGTTGCAGCACCTAGAAAGGCCAGGCTGCTCTTGAGCCACGGGGGCTGAGGAGGGGTCGGGCAGCAGTTTGTCACATCACACTGGCTCGTCCCACAGTGGCACCTCAGCACTTCTGGGTCCTTTGTTGTTCTGCTCTGCTCACGTAGGTTGAGCATGCACAAAACCATAGCTCTGTTCTTAGTGGGCATTCCCAAACCTCATGGCAACACCTTTTCTTGTAGTCATCCCACTTCCAAGTGTTTCCCACCCCATACTGGGGCTGATGTTTCACTCACACTGATTCTTATTTCAGCTCTCCACAACGTTCCCTGAGCGCTTTCTTACCAGGGGTTGGTTTGTTCCGTCGCAGTTGCACATCCTGCCCACAACTGGCACTCAGTGCTGATGTGCAGCAGGAAGTTCCTCCTCTGAAGCAATCCTGGAGTGAGAAAGAGCTTGAGGGTTTGATGCTATTTTAAGAAGAGTTTCTCGGGCAGCCAAATTAAGTGAAAGATCGTTTTTATTTCAGCTGGCTGTTTAACAGTCGAGGTGGTGGTAGAACTGTTCAAAAACGTTGTACTTCTCCAACAAGACACACGCAACTCAAGAACAACCTGCTGAGAGATGTTAATGTAGATCTTCATCAACATGAAAGCCAGCAGGGCTCACAGGAGCCTGTTATTTTTTGAACAGGAAACAGTTTGAGCTTCCATTATTAATGGAAGAGAGTGTCAAAGAAAAAAAAAGGATTAAGAATTGCTCATTCCTGTAGAAAACTTGCTAATCCAGAGAGGCAGAATCTGCCTCAGAGTCGAGAAGTGAAAATGCAGTGAGTAATCCCACCCCGAAGAGGAGCAGCATCTGTTGCCTTCCTGGAAAAGGTGTTATGTTGCTGGCAATTGTGAGGTTTTTTCCCCAGCCCTGTTCACTCACGTGTGATGGTTCAGGTTGGTTTGCTCAGAGCAGCAAGCTGGCAGCAGAATGGATGTGAAAAAAAGAAAAAAATACAAGAGAACCTTTGTTTCTCTGAGAAGCTCTAGGAGGGGATTCTGTGTAAGCAGAGACCAAGGACAAGAGAGAATATGAAAAAATGGGATGAGCAGCAATCCAAAAAACACGTGGGGGAAGGTATTTAGAGCTACAAGGAGACACCTCTCTACAGTGTTTCAGGAGAAAATACATGTAACAGGTAACACTGGCTTTTAATAGTTGCAAAAAAACATAATTCAGAAAAAGCTTAACATGCTTTTATTCAAGTAACAGGTTAAGGGAAAAAAGAAAGAAAAACTTAGTGGAGACCATGTCATGTTCATAATGCTTGTTAAATGCTTCTCACACGTGTCTGTGTGCAGGGGTGAAGGATGCAGTTTTTTAACACCAGCCTTCTGTGATTTCAGATGAAGAAGTTTGGCTGTTAAAGCAGTTTGGTCACAGAGGGCTCCAACAGAAAACTGCACCAGGACAACACCCCAGCGAGCCGCCCGCAGGCTCGAGTTCTGCTTGACATGGCCCTGCTCTACTAGACCTGCCATGACAGCATTTTTTCCCAGTGTTCCCAACTGGATTCAAGATGCAAAGCAGGAGGAGGAAGAGACAGCCTGGAAATTAGTCCCCAGACCAAGAGGTGAAGAGACCGAAAGTCAGGGAAAATGCCAGTGTGAACTATCGGAGCCCTCCTTCCCTCACGTGGACAAGCTGAGAACTCACACGCTTTCCCATTCGGAGCAGAGACCCTACAACTGCCCCCAGCTGCACTGTGGCAAGGCCTTTGCTTCCAAGTACAAGCTCTATAGGTAGGTACCTGTGAGTGCCTCTGCCCAGCACTGCCAGAAGACAGGGGAAAACCCCTCCCTCGTGTGTCTTTGCTTGAATTTCTGAGAAGCTGGAGGAGGGGAAATGCCCTTTTACCTTGCAAAGCAGTTGAGTCCCAGACATTACCATACTTGGCATCTCTTTAAGCGCCTTCCAGAGAACCTCAGATAACTCTTTATCCCGAGCTTGAGCTGTTTTCTGTTTTACTAAAGAGGAAATTGAAGCAAAAAGTGAAGTTCACAGATTAAAAAACAAAATGAAAAGCAAGAATAGCATTTGCATTCTTAAGCCCCACCTCTGACTTTAACCACAGGGATAATTCCATGGCACCTGTTGCTCCAGCATGAAGAAGTAGAGTTGCCATTTATGTACTGGAGTAGAACATAGCATAATTAAACTGTGATCAGTGGGAACTTGAAACTAGATGAACCACAGTGTCAGAAAGCATGAGATCTCAAGGTGAAATCAGAGCACAGTGGCTGTCAGCAGGCCTGGCCACAGCCTGATCCTCCTGATGAGCTGAAGTCGTTCAGAACCTGCAGACGAGCATTTTGTGTCACAAACTACTGAGGTTTTCTTTGCCAATTGCCCTTTGGCAGCCTCAGCAGAGGGCAGGAGCTGAGGAGAGGCGGCCGCAGTGCCCCTGCGCAGAGGTGATGCGTTCTGGGGAGGACGGGCACTGCTGGGACAGACTCTGTAACTGCTGGGACAGATTCTGTAACTGCTGGGACAGACTCTGTACCTGTTGCCTGAAATGTTGTGCTCCTGTGCCTGACCTTTAGTGGTGGTAAAATGCCCTCTGGGATTTTTGTGGCATAAAGTGTAGGACGCGAGGAAAATTTTGGAGAAGAAGCCTGTGTCCCCCCTCAGGGGCTGGACGCTTGCCTAACCTTTCCTGCTTTTCTCCCCAAAGGCATATGGCCACGCACTCTGCTCAGAAGCCTCACCAGTGCATGTACTGTGAGAAGATGTTTCACCGGAAGGACCACCTTCGGAACCACCTCCAGACCCACGATCCCAACAAGGAGGCCCTGCACTGCCCCGAGTGCGGCAAGAACTACAACACCAAGCTGGGCTTCAGGCGACACCTGGCCATGCACGCGGCTGCCAGCGGTGATCTCAGCTGCAAGGTGTGCCTGCAGACCTTTGAGAGCACCCAGGTCCTGCTGGAGCACCTCAAAGCTCACTCCAGGCGGGCGTCCGGCGGGGCGAAGGAAAAGAAGCATCCGTGTGACCACTGCGATCGGCGCTTCTACACCCGGAAAGACGTGCGGAGACACTTGGTGGTGCACACGGGCAGGAAGGACTTCTTGTGCCAGTACTGTGCTCAGAGGTTTGGGAGGAAAGATCATCTGACCAGGCACATGAAGAAAAGCCACTCCCAGGAACTGCTGAAGATTAAGACGGAGCCAGTTGACATGTTGGGTCTGCTCAGCTGCAGCTCCTCTGTCGCAGTGAAGGAAGAGCTGAGCCCCGTCCTGTGTATGGCATCCAGAGACATGATGGGTGGTAAGAGCTTCCCTGGCATGCTGCCTGTGGGCATGTACAGCACGCATCTTCAAACCATGCCAAGCTCAGGCATGCCCCATTCTTTGGTTCCTAATTCTCTTCCAATGGGAATGAGCTATCCTCTGGAGTCTTCTTCTCCCATCTCCTCCCCACCGCAACCTCCTCCAAAGTATCAGCTTGGATCTACCTCATATTTGCCTGAGAAACTACCCAAAGTAGAGGTGGACAGCTTTTTGTCAGACTTCCCTGGCAGCCTGTCTCTCTCATCTGGTGAGCCTCAGTCCTCTTCGCCTCAGCCACCTGCCCTGGACGAGGCTTTGCTTTCCAAGAGCCCTGCTAACCTCTCAGAGGCTCTCTGTGCTGCTAACATGGACTTTTCTCATCTTCTTGGCTTCCTCCCCCTAAATCTTCCTCCTTGCAATCCACCTGTGTCGTCGGGGGGATTGGTCATGGGCTACTCGCAGGGGGAGGCGCAGCCACTGCTCACCACTTTGCAACATCAACCTCAAGAGTCTCCCGGAGCTGGGGCCTCGCTGAACTTTGGGCCCCTTCATTCACTGCCCCCCGTCTTCACCTCCAGCTTGAGCACAACCACGCTGCCACGGTTCCACCAGGCATTCCAATGAGCTGGAAATAGCACTGGAGAACAGATCTTTCAGCCACCCTTTTGTGGAGATGGAGAGCCTTAAACACGCACAACTCTTCCTTCCCTGGGGGTGTGAAAGCTCTGCAGAGCTGGGTCAGACGGGAGGTTTCTGATCTCGGAGGGAGCACTTGTAGACTGGAACAGCTGATATCCCGTGTGAGTCCCAGTCCTGTACAGAGGAATAGACTGGATATATTTTATCTAATTTTTAATCTGTGAATCAGGAGCCGCGCTTAGCACTGACCTTCCCTGAGAATCCTGGAGCTATGTTCCTCTCTGGGAAGGGACTGTCCCTGAGGAGGAGTTGAGGCTCTTTCATCTTGGGCTAAACTTTTGAAGAGTCCAGCTTCCATTTCATGTTATCACACTGCAATTCTGGCAAACCAGCCAACACCTCCACATGGAGAAGAAGTCAGGATACCCTCTCTGTATGAAGCCAATGGGGAAGAGGCTGTCCTTCCCCACTACCTCTCATCCCATCACCCAACACAGCTTACTCCACATCAGTGTTAAGCAACAAGCCCGTTTACATAGTGAATTCAGCGTGGTCACCTCATTCTTCTTCAGGAGCCATTAGGTTAAACTTGTTACAGTGAACATTGTTTACACAATACAAATCTGTTTCTGCCAGCCATTACAAAAATAGGAGGCACCAGAATACACTGGCTTCATCTCTGGTGTAGCTAGAACACTGTTTACACAACGAAGTCAGGTTGCACTGATTTCTCTTCACTTACCATGTTCTTCCCCCATGGGGAAATACACTGCTTTCGGACCACTTCAGCCTCTGCCCCTGTAGGCAGCAACTTCCCACCTTTTCATGCTGGCTGTTCCATGTGAAGGGGATGGAGCAGCTCTCACAGCTTAGCTTGGTGTGTGGTGTATGGACAGAGCCCTCTTAAATATCTCCCCCAGGAAAAGAGATCTGGAAACCAAAGCATGTGAGAGAGCTGGGTGAGGAGCTCAGGACATCGAGCACTGGCGGACCAGGCGTGGGTGAGAACAGGCTGCAGGCCCTGCTCCCTGGGTTCCCTTGGGATGAGGAACAGAGTATGAACTTCTGGGGTTTGGGGTTATTTACCATAGCCATTCAGCGAGGTCAGCACCCTTTTTGGCTTATCCAGGAAGCAGTCTCGAGGTATATTTTGACCTCAATGGTGGTAACATCCAGAAATCGAGGAAAAATTGGTCCCACCTTCATGTACACACTGTCAGTGTATCTGAAGCATTTTCCCCAACACCAGTAGTTCTAACAGATGCAAGGGTTTTGGCCTGCAGTCACCCTTTCGCTTTGGATTTGGTTCCACTGGCCTTTTTTGTTCTCTCCTTCTCGAGCCTTCCCTCCTGAAGTTAAAAGTCCTCTATCCCTTGCTCCCTGCCCCACCTCTTAAACTCTTCCATGGGCTGACTACCTACCAGGGCAGAAGTGTTACACTGGGAAGTGGCAGCCAGCTACTGATGTCCTTTAGCATCTGCATTGTCTCCTGCTCCCCTTTTCCTGGGCACTTGTACTGCAGATGGGGACATACGGAGGTCACTCACTGTGCATTGATGCATGTTGATGTCTATGGACAGGGAGATCTTCATACCTCAGCATGGGGGAACCATTGTAGGTCAATATAAACCAGGAAATCTGTTAATATTGTTCTCCATAAATCTAGAAGATGCAAAATCTACCTCTACTCTGTTAGCTCCTTGGGCAAAGCCAGATGCTGTCCTCCCTCACCTCCCCAGAGAACATCCCCTTCAGTCGATGCAGATTCCTTCCTGCTGAGCCATGATCCCACCGTGTGACATCAGCCAGGCCTCATTCGGTCACAGGCTTGTCCCTCTTCTGTTTTACTCCAGAATTTTATTTTTAATTTAGCTTAGTAATTCTTCCCAGAATGACTCTTTAGCGATCCATTGATTCTCCAGAACATAGATCGGTTGTTTTAGGTTAGCCAGCAATGCTGCAAATAAGACTTTTGTATCAAAATGTAATATAAGATTTATTTACCTCAGCAATATCCTGTGGCAATGATCTCCCCGAGTTGAATGCAGTACTTTTTTCCTTTTCTCCACTGGAAAATGTTGCCTTTCCAAGTCCAATGAGTGCCTTCTTGTTCTCTAACCTAGCAAAGGTAAACAGGGCATTGCAGCCAGTCTGTTTACCGGCATTGAATACCTCAGGCCTGTCTTCTATTGCTTTGCTCTTTGCAAATTAAAAGAGTTTCACACTGTTACCAATTATATGCAAGCCTTATCCCTGTCTTGAGTTGAGAGGATTATTATTTTTTTGAGAAATAAATGGTCAGAACTGATCACTCACTGCCAGTGAGGATTATCAGATTTATGCAATGCCATCACACACCTTCTCCCATGCAGAACATTCAGCTTTCTTGCTTTCTGCCTGCATTGTACTCTGAACAGATGTCATCACTGGAATTCCTTTAGCAGTGGTAGCTAAACTTAGAGCCAGGCATCTTTTTCCTACCAGTAGTCTGTCAAAGAATAAATGGAATTCATTTTGCTATGATTTGCACGTGTGATTTGCTTTCCACAGCTACTCTAACAAGCAGAACTGCCATAACCTTTGTCAATGCAAGGAGAGTCTAACTCAGCAAAGGCAGCATGTCAGATACAGCACTGGGGCTGATTTCCAGGAAAACAAATTCCAAGTTCCTGTTCCACAACAGAGTTTAATCTGCACGTACTTTATCAGCCAGCCTAAACCAAATGAGACTAATTCCATTTGAAATAGTGACTGTGCAATTCACAGAACAGATTATATTATAATTAACTTTTACCTGTTCATAAGAGAAAACTTTGAGCATCTAAGCTACAGCACTTGAGAATCCCAGTCCATTAGGAAGTATGTACCAAGCTATTAGGAAAACCAGTGGATGTCAGCTTAGCCAAGCTCCTGCCAGTGCAACTGGAGGTAAGGGACAAGGGTTAACTTTGGCATGCTGTGAGGGGGATTGCTGCAGCACAGCCTGCAATCTGTTCTGTGGTGTATGTGCAGGGCTTTGTGCATGAGGCAATGGCAGACACTGTGCTGGTTATGTGATATAAAAAAAAGCTTCATCCCACGAAGAGTTTGGTTTTGGTTTTTGTTTGGTTTGGACCACGAGTTTGGGGCCAGGACGTGGCTGTGAGTCAGCCCAGCAGAGCCCTGTGAACCACTGCACTGTGATCTCTGTGTTCCTGGCACACCTGTATCACAGGTGGCATCAGACTGAGCCCAAGAGGAGTGACTACAGCAAATAAATGGTCAGGAGGGTTTAGTTAAATAAATATTTTAAAGTGTGGCTGACTTGGGGGATGTCCAAGAGCGATATGAAATATCAAGACTGCACTATATTTATATTTATAATATATAAACCCATAGAGCTCCAGTCAGCAAAAGAACAGCATATGAACTTGCCAGCCTTTATAAATCAGACCCCAGATTCTCAAAAAGCCAGGGACTTAATGTCCCACTACTAATAATGATTCCAGCTCGCTCGCTAGCAAATAGCCAAGCCAAGCCATTCCCTGGCAGCAGAGGGTTAACTCACCTCACCTGTCCTCCCAGGCTCAGATTGCCAGAGCCCTGTGAAAGGCTGAAGATCTTTTCCCCCACGGGATTACAGCTCACTCAAAATCCATTTGTAGGAAGGAACAGCATGTTATCTTGCATTTTCTTCCACTGAATTTCACTTGACAGAATACCCACACACCGTGTTGTGACAGAGCCCGTTCTGTGTCTCACAACAGCACTGCTCTTTACCCTCAGTGTTGAAAAATGGTGTCACTTCAACTGGAATCCCTTTTCTCCCTCCAGTAGATTGATGATTTCAGTACTTTTGTTGTGAGCTCAGCTCTTTGTTCTTTAATTCCTTCCTTGCTGACAGGTGAATAGCAGCTGCTGGGAAGATTTCCTGCAGTTCACTGAAAAAAATCCCCGTTTCTTTTCTCTGCCACTGCACCACCTTTGCTGTCGGGACAGAACAACCCCGAGGAGGCATTTTCTGCTGCCTGCAATTAAAATTTCCACAAAGAAATCTTCAAAGATGCTTTTCCCATCACCCGACCTTCTTGCTTATCCTCTCTAATCCCGGTTAGTCAGGCTGACTGAATTCTCCCTCAGGTGCCTATTTTTAGTTAATTGCCTGCCCAAGCCCTGGAGATATTCTGCCACCAGAGTGAGGTGGGTGAATGGCTCAAATAGAACCACTTCAGGTTTCCAACCTCATCCAAAATTTGCTTCTTTTCCATAATTTATTTCTCGTATTTTTCCCAGTTCTCAGAGATGGGAATTGCCTTGTGAAGCTCTGAATCCCATCCCGCCCGACCTTGGTGTGGTAGGAGAAAGCAGTTTGGTTTAGCCTGATCTACTGGACTAGGACTGGCGAAACCTGGGCTCTGTTTTCACCCTGATCCCCAGCCCTGGCACCTCTCACCCTTTCTGTGCCTGTTTCCCTGTAACAGGCCACAGCCATACCAAGCCTCCCCTGGGAAGCAGCTGGAAGCTGCCTAGGGGGGCACCATTACCACTGACTCAGCTTCCTTACAGGACCACTATTCCTGCTCCCCACCATCACCACATCCCTGGTGTGAGCAGACCCCTCTCAGGTTCTGCTGTCCCTGCTGCACAATCCATGCACACATCGGGCTCACCTCTGGCTATTCCCTGCACCCAGGGGCAGACTCACTCCGTTCTGCTGAATAACTGGAATCCTTTAGGAATCCTTCCACATGTTTCAGCCATTCTTGTGGCTCCAGGTAAGGAGTCTCATTCCAGAGTGCACTCTGCAATCTGCCAGCTCCACATGTTCCCACAGACCACTCGCCACTGAATGCTTCAGACTGGCACAGGAAAAAAAATGGAACTGGTGATCAGAAATGAGACCAGAAAACAGATCACATTCTGCTTCTCACAAATCCCCATCAGGAGATGAGCTCAGCTTTTCTGTCCAAAGTACATTCTATTTCATTGTGCACAGGGAGGCTCCAGGAGGAGCCTGAAACACCTTCACTGTGTGCTCATGGCTGAAGCTTGGTCTGTGCCATCTTTTCCACCAGTGCCTAAATATGAGCATGCACAAAGTACATGCATGACACAGAAGGAGCTTCTCTGTATCAGGAGATCACAGTGACAAGGAAAGTTAAAGGCATTGGCAAATGATTAAAAAATAGAGAATTTGGAATCTGGGTATTTTTATACTATTAAATAGGCCAGTTCTTCATTTCCAGTTAGGGGAAGAACCCTCAACATTAAAGTGTCTTATTAAAAAACAGCTGTCCCTCAGTTTCACAGCTCTTTTCACCTTCAGTCTCACCCTCTGATCACAAACTGTGTCTTTGTTTTAAACTACTATGCAAGTGGATAACCAGCCCTATCACAGAATGTACTGAGGGGGCAGGGGACGGCTCCAAAGCCTGTGGGACAGGGACAGGCACACCTCTGTCATCCAGGTGAACAGACCACAGACCTGCCTGCAGCCCTTTTCCCTCTGTAGTCAGTGTCTTGCACTTGAAGGTAACACAAGCTTTGCTCATGGTCCTCAGCAGCAGCCAGTTCAAGGTCAGCAGAAGGGTGCAGGAGCCTGCAAACTCCAGCACATCTCATAACTTCTGCTGGAAGCCTCTCTGGAGTTTGTGAGATCTCCTCACCCTGCTGAGTGCCTCAGCCTTGATGCTTCGTGGGATTTTCCCGCTCATACCTAGGAACAATTTTTAGAAAGGTTGTTTTGTAACATGTGTACCAGTGTTTTTCTTAAATGAGGATACTGATGAAGAACACAAGAGCTGTCTGCTGAGGTGCTCCAAGAGGCACAGAAAGGAACCTGTGGAACCACGAAGACTCACCCCTGGAGCAGCTGAGCTCCGAAACTGCTGCTGGAGGAAAAGCTACTGAGCGACCTTTGCAACCACAAGTCATTTTGAGAACCCTCTCCCAGGCACAAGCTCTGCCATCTGCCCCAGGAGCCAGTGGACATGCCCTTGGAAGGTGAAGGGTTTGGGGATTAGCCCTGGGAGTGGGTGGAAGAGCCATGGTCTCCCTCCCCGAGGCTGCTGTTCACGCTGTCCCTTCTTGTGCTGGATCTGGACAGGCCCTGTGCCTGACCTCCCTCCCTGCAGCTACAGCTGCCAAAGCCAGAAACTTCCAATTGTTAAAGCTCAATTGGTTTTCTAAAAACAAACTTTCTAGCACTTTTACACACAGTGAATAACCTCTTTTAATGGAGTATTTTGGGGGCTGTAAACAAGGTTTTTAAACTGTAATTAAGTGCCATTAGGAAATGTACGGTTCATCACTAAAATTAGCTCTTGCAAATGAAGCTCAAATTGAAAGCATTTTTTTATAATGAAGTTGTTTATTAAAAGCATTTGGATGATCTGCCCCGGGCAACTTCTTGGGGAGGAATTGGGGTTTGGTTGGTTTAAGTAAAGACAGAATCATAAAGCAGGTCAAAGACCCAGTTCCCTGCATGAAGCCACACGGGTTTGTCTTTCAAGCAAAGAATTACACCCCTGCAAAAAAAGACCCAGCACCCCCCTGGCGATGCAGCCACAGCCAACACCATAATCCCCTGTCAGGAGAATGTTTGTTAGACAGAAAGTTCTGGTCACTTGGTTTCACTAGAATTTCCAGCCCATGTGGCAGCACTTCAGACGAGTCCAGCCCACACCCCCTCCCAAATAACCCCGACATGCTCCACTCCCCAAGGGCAGCAGAACCAGGACCAAACCTTAAGCTATGAGCAGCTGCAGGCACCGGCAAGCATTTGGAGATGAAAAAGGGTGAAGCACACCCTCCCCTCTTGGGATTCTCCTTCAGAACACAGATTAAAAGCTGACAGCCACGATCAGTGTTCAGGTGCTTTTCTCTAGGTACGATCTGGTTTTCATTCCTAAAGCAGCTGCTGGTGAAACGTGCCCTTTCCTCAGCAGCTTTTCCCCGGAGCTGAGGGCTGTGACAGGACATGAATACACTCAATCTGCCAAAAAATAAGAAAAGTTCAGCACAGATTGTCCTGTTGGTGGAGCTGAAGCTTCCTTTGCCTTTTTTAAAGGGAAAAGGGACTATTCTGATGATTTCCAAGTTTTGATTCAAGCATTTGCCTGCTCTGGTCTCGGTCACAGACATTCAGCAGCCCCTGACATTGGCACCTCCGTAACCTGGGGGAAGCACATTCATTGCTCTGCTGGGCAGAACATCTCAGGAAAGGGGATTTCACTCTCCATCCCTCTGGCAGCATTCCAATGGATGCTGGCTGCTCTCCTGCCATGCATTCCCCCAGCAAAACACACAAGCTCTGGGAAGCCATGGATGACAATGTTGAAGGCTCTGCTTCCACAGCACCAGCACAAGTCTAAACTCCCATTTGGAAGGAAATGGCAGCCCCATTCTGAGCTGTCCTCTCACTTCTGCTGCTCAAAAGCACCAGGTATCTGTCCAGCACTGCCATCCAACAGTCCTGCTGCTCTTCCCATCATTGCTACACACATCAAATAAGGTATCTCACACGAGAGACAAGTTGCTCAAGGGATCTTACCCTGCAGCACATCCAAATGCCTCAACCGGTGGCAAAATTACAATATATGGCAGCATTCAGGACATGCCACACTGGGAGAAACATACTGCTCAGTCAAGTTTACCAGGAGAAAAATATTGCAAAGAAAACTGAAGTATTCCAAGCTCTGCTTTTGTCTGAAGCCACACATCACAGACCACGTGGGTGTCGAACAGGCCAAGTGTTACAAAAGGAAATTCTCCAGAGGTGGCTTAGGAGAACCCAGGAGAGCAGGATGACAGGACAATGGCAGATTTATTTACAATAGGACACAAAGAATACATACATTAATTAAAAATTACAAAGAATACAGAGAAAACAGTTCAGGAAAGGGAGAGAAATCAATGCTGGCTGAGCCTCTCCACTGGGGCAGGGGCAGAAGAAAAAAAAAAGGAAAAAAAAAAAAGAACAAACTGATCAAAATCTCAGAAAAGGACCTCAAATCAGAACTGACACAGGACTCCACAGCACAGCTGGCTCACACATCCCCTGCACCCTTTTTCCATCCATGATTCCTGGCTGATTGGACTTTGGCATGATGAGCAAGGCTGACGGGAAGGGATGTGGGCCCTTGTGTGGACCTGGTGGAAACTTATGGCAATTAGGGTTAAAAAGAGCCCCAAAGCCCTCAAGGGTGCACATCAGTGCTGGGAGCAGGGAGGGCTTTGGACAGTTCTGGGTAGAAAGAGTGTGACCTGTGGCAGCTGGTCATCAGGAGACCTTACTACAAGAAGCAAAACTTTCTTAGATCTCACTAAAAAACCTCTCCCCTGTAGCCCTGACTGAATCCAGCTAGTCTGGGGATGTAGGGAGTCTGCACTGCAGTGTGGAACCTTTTTTACTGATAAACATCATTGAAGTGACCAAAATAAAAAACAACTTTAACTTCTTTTAAAAAGAGCTTCCCGTGGGCCAATTCAGGCATCAAGCCATGTGAAAAGAGCCCACATCAGCTGTCCTGGAGGGCTTGGACTGGTTTTTGTGGAGAAGAACAAAGTACAGCTTAGGGGCATACACTTTTCCTGTTCCCTGGAGGTAGAGAATTTCAGAGGAGGAGCAGAGAGCAGCGAGAGTGGCCGGCCCCGGAGGGAGGGCTGGCAGGGAGACAGCCCCACTCTCAGGCCATGGGAGAGCTCCACAGGGCCACCTGCTCTGTGCTCAGCCCCTTCAGCAGGGCCTGCACACCCCTCGGGCAGCTCAGGCCCAGCACTGCCTCAGATTGCTTGGCACTGACCCTGCAGAAGTGTCTCTGCAGGCTCTGCGTGATTCCGGCAGCGTTCCCAGGATGGAGCCTGCCCCGTTTCCTCATGCATATGGAGCAGAGCTATTGACAGAAAAAACCCTTGTAGGTACCTCACACATCCTTCCAGTCCTGTATTCCAGCACAACCACGGACGTTATGTTCCGCCTTCTGAAGGAGAGGCAATCCCACCCTCCCCTCAGCCCTTCCAGCAGAGGCATCCGCAGCGGCCCGTGCTGTCCGAGGCTGGAGGGAGGGAGCAGTGATGCCGAGGGTTGCAGTTGTCAAGCTCTCTCAGGGTGAAATTGCACTTCCCAGGCTCCGAATGGCACCTCCAGCAAATTGTAAACAAGCCGAAGCCAGGACTTCGGTGGTCGGAGCACACCGGACTCCCGCTGGGTGAGCCTTTAGGCTCCGGTTATTTTGCCACAGTCAAGCTCCCTCTTCTGTGCAGACACGAAGGCAGGAGAAAAACGCAGTCTGATGCTCATCTGAAGAGTCTCCCTGAATCCTAGAGCACCCCAGGGGCTGGAAGAAAACGTTTTCACAAGTGTTTCTACTGCTGTTTCAAATCCATTCGTCATCAACATAAAAAAAAAGGATGAATTAGCAAAAAGGGGGTTTTACTTATACAGAGGGATATTTCTCTGCTAAAAAACTCCCTCAAATATGGAACAGGATAATAAAGTTAAAATGTAAGGTATCTACAGACCCCTTTTCCCCCAGAAGTAGCCCAGAATCCATGTACACTGTGCCAAAGTTACATTCCAAATCGAGGAGTTAACTGTTTCTCTTGTCACTCTCCCACTGGATTTCGTTTCCTTAAAAGAGCTGGGAGATGATGTCCACGTCACTCCCGGGAGGACACGCGTTCGGAGGCGTCTGATTCCTGCTGGGGCTCTGCAGCTCAGTCGATCTTCACGGCGGCGTAGATTTTCCGGACGAACATGTAGGCTGCGTAGAAGCCGATGGTGCCCGTGAGGAGCCAGAAGGACAGGACCATGAGGGCGGTGTAGCCAAAGTACAGCAAGGAGGGAATGAACTCAACAATATCCAGCTAAAACAGAAGAGGAGGGAAAAAATGAGCAGAATAATGCACAGAGCCGACGAGAGTCCCCAACCCAGCGCAGTGCCCTCTGCGAGGGGACCTTTGTGCCAAAGGGAGGATTCGTTTTCATCCAGCTGAACAGATTCCCTTCGAGGTGGGGTTGGGAACATTGCTCTGCACAGGTGATCTGGGCAGGGTCCCAGGGCACTTACACCTTCCTCTCCCCTCTGGCAGGGCTGTCAGCACCACTGGCTGCTCAGCTGCCTTGGGCTGGCACGGGACAGATTAGGACTCTGCAGTCCCACCATTTCCTTTCCCAAATCCCACAGTCTTCCCCAGAAAGGCAGCACTTTCATACAGGAGGAATAACAATACCTTGTTCACAAAGTAGAATACAGCGTAGATCAGCACATAGAAGGCAGATCCCCCTGACACCAGGAAGGTCCTCCACCACCAGCGGTAATCCTGATAGGATAAAAAGCCTTATTACCCCACAGGCTTTCTTCTTCTGTGGGATAATAATCCTTCTCCTGTCTCAGGGGAGCTGTGACCATTCCAGGACAGGGAGAATATCACACATTTTCCTTCAAAGGAAACCCACAATTTGGGGTGGGGAACTGTTTTGTCACAAAACTGTCTCCAAACCAAGAGGACACGAAGCTGACAGTGAAGCAAAGCCAGGTCAGGCTCACAGCACCTCTGGCCCTGCATTTGTTTTTTATGTGCATGGAATGAACCAGTTTCTTTGAGAAGAGGCATCAGCTGAAAACACCCTGCACGCAGCAGAATTCCTGGTACGAAACCACAGTTCCCAGCCTAACAGATAATCAAGGAGCTTCAATTCCCCTTGAAGCCAAGAGGTGTTGGGAGCAATCCCACCCGTGAAGCTGGGCCACGCTAATTTCTGCTGAGCAGCAGCAACAACATGACCTGTGCTTTTCCAGGAGCAAGCACCCTGAGCTACCCAAACTACAGACATGGAAATCTCACCTCAGCACAGAGCTGGAAGTACACCATGACAATGCTGATCTGGGAGCAGGATACCACCAGAATTATAAACACCAGGAAGAGAAAGCCGAAAAGGTAATAGAACTGGTTCTCCCAGATTGCCTGAAACAAAGACACAGCAGGAATTTGTTTCCATGCTACTGTGATCAATCACTGAACATGGGACTAACTTCTGGCAGCCAACCAAGGGAAAATGAGAAGCCCCTCAGCTTCATGGAGATGAAAACACAGATCTCATGTGTCTCACAACATTGCTTCAGAGGATTCAGGTTGCAAAAAGGTGCACAAGGACAGCTCTGAGGTAGCTTTTCATTCCCCTACACCTCCCAGCAATGGAACAG